TCCATCCCTCCATCCCTCCATCCCTCCATCCCTCCATCCCTCCATCCATCCATCCATCCATCAAGGGCCACTAGTGCTGAACCCACGATGCCCACCTTGCCGTGTGGGTAGTGCGGAACCGTGTTTTGCACCCCATGGACCCGGTCATTGACACCACCTTGATCACGATCTTCCTCCTGTACCGGGCCTACTCCCATCTTTGTGTGGTTCATCGCGCATTACAACCCTATCTCCTGCACCCAGAGAAGGGCGCTTGCTTGCACTTTACCTTGGACACCGTGGAGGTCATTGTCTTCCTCTTCAGATCATCAAACAGAATAATTTGATAGGGCTCAACTGCTTTCACATGCAGCGTGGCACCTTTTCGAACGGCCGTATCACCTCTAGGATTGACTATGCGCTCACCCGTTCGATTTGTGCAGATGCAGTTGCCAAGGAATTTAGACCACACTTTGGCTTTCCTCTAATTGCCGGAGCCACTAGCTTTCATGTCCCGCTTATAAGCTCCCTCCCCTTTCACTAGCACCGTTAAGTATGCTGCCCCTTGATCAAACAACATCTCGCTGTCACAAAGGGAACATGCACACCGGGCACAGGACACAGATGCAGCATCCTGGCAAAGCTTTGCAGCCCAGGCCCATGCAGCAGCTCTTTGCCACCGAGTGGCATCGTGACGACCGCCTTGCACCAGATTCATGCTGCAAAGAGTCCTTTGAAAGTCATTTCCCCGAGCTGCATGGCCGGAAGAATCCTGACTGGTCATGCATGGATGGCGTTGTCAACCGCAAATGGTCCATGTGGCAACAGATTCGTACCCACAATGATTGTTCCACCAAAGGCATCTTTCGAGTTTAGCACTTGTTCAGCACGTTTCACAAGTTGCAAGCCTTGCAAAAGAAACATGCCCAGGAGTGGCGTTCACGCCGAGACCAACAACTGAGAGCAGATGCGGCAGACGCCATGGCGAGCCATGACACGTACGAGGCATATAAGCTCATTAATCAACTGGCGCCTAAAGCTGTTCGTAAGTGTGTTCAGTTAAGAGATGCTCATGGGACCCCGCTTGGACCTGTTGAATGACATGCTGCCTTTGTACGGTTTGTCAGCCAATCATGCGCAACCAACCGCAACAAGGATGGGCGTACACAGTTGATGCCAGTCGTATTACCATCCAGCCCAAGCCTGGGTCTACGGCATGTGTGTCCACACTATGCACCTGGGCCAGCTTCAACGCAAGGCGCCCTGACCGGCGTTGCCAGCAGACCACAAACCGAGTGCAGGGCTCTCGTTGCCGCCCTCTGCACACTTGCCGGATTCACCACAGCACAGGCTTGGGCACGACCACACCAACTACATGGTTTCCAGGACTCTGCTTCCCTCACTGTTCTCTACGTCAGCCGCAACACCAAGACTCCAGATGCACCGGGCAATGAAGTGCACCTTCGAAGGCGCCAGAGGGAGGCAGGGCTTGCCGCCTGGGAGGGCCAAAGATCTTTACAACAAACAGCAGGAAGACTGGCGCAACACACTGGACGATCACCATTTCCAGGTCTACCAGCACGCAGTTGCCCGCCTGCAAAGTATCCGCCCCGGCACCAAGGCAAGCGCGCGAAACAGCGCAAGAAGCATTTGATTGCACGCTGCAGCCAACCTTGGCAGGAAGGCAAACACTGTTGGAGGCAGCGTCGCAGTGGTTATCAGTGCACAACATGCCAGGTGCGCGTCCACCATGGTCTCACAGTGGCCACCAGGGAAGAGTTACCGCAAGCCGACTGCAGCCAACTTGCCGTAGAAGCTCACCAGGCGGAGGAACAACCAGTCAGAAAGGGCGTGAACCAACCGGCAATCCAAGAAGAACATCCTCCAGCCCAAGATGCGCATCGAAACGGCAGGGTACCTCAAGTGTACCAAATGTGGAGTGGCCATCCTGAAGCGCACCAAAGAGAAAGGTTTCCAGACCTACCTCCGCAGCAGATGCGCCGATGAGGCCCATGACCAGGACTGTGGCGGGCGTTCCAGTCAGCGCTTGTGGCAAAAAGGCAATAAGATCCACTGTCTCTCCTGTGGATTGCAGGCCACATGTGATCTTCATGGCAGGCTCATCCTCAGCACCTCGCTCAAGAAAGCATGCAGACGAGCAGCAGTCCGCAGCTCACCCAATCCTGCGGTCATGGATACCAGCCGGACCACCACAGCGCCAACAGCGCTGGAGGATACTCCGCCTGTGAGATGCGCCCCGGTCTGCCCAGCATTTTTGGCATCCCACAGCCTTGAAAACAGATGTATTTAATACATCTGTCTTGTGCCCAATGGCGCACACGAGCAGGAGGCTACTCAGCCACTCACGGCTGGCAGCCAACATCCCGACCAGATGTCCAGATGGGAACACCTCCCTAACCTTGGCCAGCCAATCCGCAAGCTCTTCCAGGCTCTATGGGCCCCGCTCTTTCAAGGTCCCAATCCTTTCATGAGGCCATGAAACCCAGCCAAAATGAAGGCGAACAAGAAAAGCCTCGTGTGCATGATCCACCTGTGACAGATGAATGCTGCCGAACCGTGCCACCACACACAGGCCATGATGCCCAGCCACACTGGAGAAGCGGCGCTCAGCACCGCTGATGCCATGGACGTTGCCGACTACTTCTAGCTCGGCAGCTGCCGTGCCAAAAGGGCGCCCGTGAGAAACCTCATGCAGACGGAAAAACACCTCTAGAAAAAATCAATCCATCCATCCACCCATCCATCCTGCCATCCTGCCATCCTGCCTTCCTACCTTCCTGCCTTCCTGCCTGCCTGCCTTCCTGCCTTCCTGCCTTCCTGCCTTCCTTCCTGCCTGCCTTCCTGCCTTCCTGCCTTCCTGCCTTCCTGCCTTCCTGCCTTCCT